AAAAAAAAAAAAAAAAGCATCAAAAAACCCAGAACACCAGCTGCATGCAAGTGACCACTCGAAATAACTAGAGCTGTGCCAGAGTTTTCCTGCTGCTGCAGAAATCAAGAAGGCACTCGTGCAGCGTTCCTCCATCCCACCTCCCAGTTCTCTGTTGGCACGGGGATATCCCCAGAAAACAAGACTGCAGATAGACTACGTTCATACAGGTTCACTGCAGCTAGGAGCTGTGCTGGTGGTAAGCTTCAAACTCGATCGCTACTAACAGTGGTCATCCAAAAAAAGCACAGAACGGGAAACAATACAGCAGTACAGCAAACGCCTCTCCTCCAAATCAGGAAGTATTAGGAAACAAAGGATATGCTGTTGAGTCTAAGAAGCCTAGCAAATCTAAATCAGGTCCTTGGGCATGGAAAGAGAATCCTCCTTCCACAGAGGCAAACTTTAAGAGAGACGCAGTAATGAGAGGATCAGATGTGTGGATGGGAGTTTTGCTCACAGTGGAAAGCAGCAAAGACACCTTATGGGTGGGCCTTCCTGAGACAGCATTATCTTTAAGACGGTGCATAACGTCTCCACACCCTTCAGAGAAGAGTTCCCAGTTGTCCACAGTGACGTGAGGGGAATTACAGAAGCTAATGCACTAATCTGCGTTGAAGTAAGTATGACCTAAGAAGTTATACTTAAAAAAAAACAGAACAAATATTTTGCTCCTGTATAAAGGGTGCCTTCTTCTAGGTCTCTGCAGAATCCAGAAGTGGGTTAGCTTCTTGAGTCCAAATCCTCCTTATTCTGATGTGTTTACAGCAAACACTGTTGTTTCAGAAAGGAAGAGACTACCACATCGATAATGTCCCCTGCCGTCACACAAGGACCATGGTAGCTTCCAGGAAATGAACCAGTTTTGTTCAAAAGCACTTCCCTCACTATGCTAGCATTTCCTCACAGATCTGTGCCCAATATAAACCACCCAGTGCTTAAAATCCACCTATTTGAAATGGTAACGTATGTTCCTCACACTCTAAGAGTACAAGTTTTTCAACTACAGGGCACTAAGCTGTTTTAGTTCAATCTACAAATACCATCCCACACAAGCAAACACAGACCTGAATATCCTTTACTTAACACTTATTTATCACAACATACTTTTCAAAAACCCAAACACTGAGACCATGCTACTGCTGACTGAAAAACAGCATGTTATAGCCAGATGCCAGAACAGCAGTATCTGTCAGTTTAGAGTTGGGAACGTTTACTCCCCACCATTTCAGTCTGCACTGACAGCAAGCTACAAAAACCCATTTCAAAACTGGCATTTAGTCCAGGCTTCCTGAACACCACTACACTTACCTCTACGTAATGTTTTGAGGAAAGCGTCAATCTGTTCCTGTCCTACCCCAAAGGCTCCCTTCTGCCCAAAAAGGAGATGGGAGAGGAGAAGGTGCAGGACCTCTATTGCAATATCTTGGAAGCCACCTTCTTGATTTCCACTGACGTCCGCGTCAATGTAAGAGCGCAAAAGATCTGGGAGTTTCTGTTTGATAAACTGGGCAGCTTTTGAAAACAAAAGAGACTAGAGTCAAAACCTGAAATTTCTTTTTAATGTTAAGATTCTTTTTAGCCAGGTACTGTTCTCTTAATCTGAGTTTGCTTAGCACAAGCCACAAGAGTGTGGATTTAAACAGAAGTCTCATCATCCATACCTCAGATATTAATGAACAACTAAAAGGCAAGGTATTACAGTAACCCAAGTCAGTCATTCATGGAAGGGACCTCCACCTTCATACAAGACGACTGTGCTATCTATTGCCCCAAAAGACTTCAATAGCACTACGGATTGCAAGGTCTTGCGTTACTCAGGTCATGCAGATACATCTCTCAATCTACAGAGCCCACCACTTAAAAGAAAAAAGGTGTGCCTGCTGCAATACTTTGGAAGCTTACTTACCAAAACCTCGTAGATCTGAACTGAAAGAGTTCAATAAAGCAAGACCAAAAATAACCTATAAACAAGAACAAACATCATAGTGAGGCAACATCATCCTGAGTCAAAAAAACATTAAAATACTTTTGAAATAAATGTTCACCTACCTCTTGAACTTTACTTAATTTGATGACTTTACTCAACTGGGCAAATAAATGGGGTGAAGGCTTTAGACTCTGAAACAGGTAAAAAGAGTTAAATGGAAGCTGTTGTATGATTAGTCTCATTCATAACGTGGCAGACTCTAGATCTAGAGTCCACTTGCAGGTCTGGAATATCAGTAAATATTCTGCTGTAGGTTAACACAAAGCTTGCATGGCCAAACAAAGCATCTTTAGAATTATTTTTTGATATGTCTAGTCTAAAAGTTTCTTCTGCGTAACTCACTCTTTCACAACTAAACCCCCACCATGGCTTTCAGATTGAAAGAAACAGGAGCACAGATTATTTCTTTTGGTTCTGGCTGCCATAAACAAGCCATAAAGTACTAATGTTCAATTGAGAGTAAGCTTTAAAATTAGTTTGCAGGCATTCAGAGTGATTGAGTAACTTGCCGAGTTTAACAAAAAACCCAACTTCTGGGCAAGCTCAGTATTTCAAGACTTTAGTACAACCGATCTCAGCCATAAAAAAAAAAAAA